TATACATGTATATATACATATATATGCCGAAGATCCGGACCTACAGCGTCGACCAAAGACTCCAAGACCGCACATCCTGAACCCTGTAGAATCCTAAAACCACCGTCCAAAAAGGAGCCGACGCCGACCCACTTTTGTTTGATCCGCTACGCCTAAGGCTCAATTTCCCAGAGTTCCGGGACGCTTTCCTCCGCCTTCAGGAGGCCCGCTCTCTTCGGCGTTTTTGGTTGAGAGGTCCTCCTCTTCCCCTTCTGGGGCTTTGGGCTCGTCTAGTTCTTGGGGTTCCGGCTATTGGGGGCGAAGGGGTTTCGGGTTCAAGGGTTTAGGGGTTTGGGGTTGAGGGTTTTAGAGTCCAGGGGCTTGGGGGTTAGCGGCTTGGAAGTTTTGGAGTTGTATAGCGAACTTGCATCTGTGTGGGGACTGTTGGGTCACAAAGGTCACCGGCAGCCCATGCGCGACCTGTACTGTACAACTTCAATCTCAGAAGCCCAGGAACCGGTTTCTCAGTGGCTCTGCAGACAGGGGCCGGTGGCGGTTTTGAGGGGTCGATGCCCAAGAAGCTCGAAGCCTGCGGCTAAAACTCCAAAGGTTCAACTTCGCCCAGGCCCCCCAGCCCCTAGGCCCAAGACCCCAAACCCGGGCCTAAACCTCTTCATTCCGTGGGCGCACCTCCTGCACTGGCAGTTTTGAGGAGGAGCCTTTTGGGGGCTTTGGCCCCCGGAACCGCCCAAAGCTCCTACCGCCACGGGTCTCATTCATGCGCCTGTGGCATCCATAGGGTTTAGGGTTTAGGGTTTAGGGTTTAGGGTTTAGGGGGAGCCCTACAGCAATGCTGAAGGGCCGGAGTTGGGTGTTCGGGGGTGTGGTGTAAGCCGGGCAAGCAAACTCCAGGAGTTGGAGGTGGTGGACAAGCCCAATGACGAAGCCATGAGGCGGACCTGGGATTGTCAAGCAGGTTTTTTCCCCGGGCTTCATGCACATTTCTAGAGTATTCTTATAGGGCCCTAAAGCCCAAACCCCGTTCCTAATTCCTGAACCATTGAAGGAACTGCTGAAACCTCCATTGTGGGTTTGCGCTCCATCCGGAGCCCAGAACTCCTTTAGCATCATTGCCTGGATCAGGGGTTCGGGGCTTGGGGTTTCGGGTTCAGGGCTTGGGATTGGGATGCAGGTGTCGAGGTCTTTGTTTAACTGTGTTCAAGGCACTTTGAAAAGGTGCAGGCTTTGGCGTCTCGGGCTAAGACGCAGGAGCCAAAAGCGCCACGACACCCGCGTTTCGGGGTTCAGGGAGCCCGGAACCCGAAGTCCCCGAACGTCCCTGAAGCTTTGCTCTGGAAGGAGGCTCTTTCAGAAGCACAGCGGCCAGCCCGATCCGAAGACAGGCCAGCTTTTCGTCTGCTTCTCGTAACTCCCAGCTCTTTTTCGCAGGGCTCCGGCTCGAGGTTCGGAATTCATTCGCCTAGGCCCAAACACCAAAATCAGGACCCTAAACCCTAAACCCTAAACCCTAAACCCTAAACCCTAAACCCTAAACCCTAAACCCCTTGAACAACTCCGAACAGACCCCTGGGCCTTGGTGCTCGCCGGCCTCAGGGTTGGGCGTAGCTTTGAGGCTTTAGGTATGGATCTGAGGAGGGAAGTATAGACTTGAACTTGTAAGGTTTATAGGGCCTAGTTCCAGTTCTTGAGGCTTAGCTAGGGCCTAGTCGTCGTTGTCAGTGTTGTAGCAAAAATGATGTCTATCATCTGTCGTTTTCTCTTATCGGTATTTTTCCTATCGTCATTAAAGCTGATGTTATCACCATCGCCATCAAACTGATCAGTTCCTTCACCGCCATTACCGTCATCATTAGTTTCATGATTATCTGATTGGCTTTGCTGCTATCATACCGTTTCTCCTCGGTGCTCGCGGTCATCCTCGTACCATCAGCCTCATCGCAGTCACCTCCGCCAGCATCATCGGAGCTGCCGTCGTCGCCGTTGGCAGTGGATGTCTGTGTCGCCACCTTTGCAACGAAGGAACTCGACGGAGCGCCACTGCAAGAACAGTTCAGGCATCAGAGTCGGAGGGGCCACAAGACCTCCACCAACTTTAAAATAGGGGATCCCAATATAATACTCTAAATAGTAGGATCCTTATTATAAGGACCCCCAAAATATGGGTTTTGGGGGGGCCCGAGATCCGACCTAGGCCAAACATCGGGTAACCCGCAAAGCCCGCAGTGCGTCAGTTCAGGTGGTTTGGGCGGCGGCCCAAGCTGTGGTTCGTGTTGAGGGTTTAGGCTTTAGGGTTTAGGGTTTAGATCAAGTTTAGATTCACTTTTTCGAATGGGGAAAGCAGGTTCTTCGCTATGCATGCTTGCCATCGTAACTTCAGCTACTTTCCTTTTCGAAGCTTGTTTCCGTATATCGATCCTTCTTCTCCTGGACCCTGCAGCTATACTTAAGGAGAAGCAGGGTTTTGGGGTTGTGGCACTATCGCTACACAGAGAATGAAATCCTTGCAACTGCGCTGCAATTGACTCACACTGAGCTTCTCATCGAAGCAATACCCAGTGTGGTGAAGCACTAGGATCTGATGCTAAGCAGCATCAACATCCTTTGGCTGTCAACTGGGTAGGTAGTAGTACGGAGACCCCTTAAAGGGGACCCTTCTTATCCCTACTTATGGCTTCCTTGAAAGGGACCTTACTCAGGGGGTTCTATAGGCAGTCATGATTAGGTTTTATGTCTCAAGCCGTTGCTGATGGCACGGAAGATCCTGATACTGCGCTCATGGTGCCAACTGCCCTTAGCAAGGAAATTGCAATTTTCTTCTTGAGCGAGTATTGAATACATGTCTATACTTGCAGCGAAAACGAAAGCGAAGATGATATCGCGAAAAAGACTTACTGTATAATGTTGACATATTGTTGATGATCAAGCCCAGGAAGACGTACTAATTGCAGCACAGACTTGAGAATAGGGTTTTGGGGCCCATTATACCATAGTTATAATAAGGAACGCCCCCCCCAAAAAAATAGTATAGGTAGTTATTTAGGGTTTAGGGTCCCTTATAGTACCCCTTAAAGTAACCTTATGGGAACCTTTATGGGAACCCCAAACCCCTAAACCTTAAATTTTACCATCATAGGGTTTGGGGCCCACTATACTATAGTTATAATAAGGAACGCCCCCCCCCCAAAAAAAAATAGTATAGGTAGTTATTTAGGGTTCAGGGTCCTTTATAGTAACCTTATGGACCATCGTAGGGTTTGGGGCCCATTATACCATAGTTATAATAAGGAACCCCCCTACAAAAATAGTATAGGTAGTTATTTAGGGTTTAGGGTTTAGGGTTTAGGGTTTAGGGTTTAGGGTTTAGGGTTTAGTTATTTAGGGTTTAGGGTCCCCCATGAGCCAGGGCCGCCCAGGTCAGGGCGCGAGGCCGCGAGG